TGTGAGGGAGAGGGGCGGGGTCAGAGGGCCAAATCTCAGCAAGGACCCTGGAGGGACGTGAACAGGCTCCTGCTGTGACTGCTCCAGGTAGAGCCCAGGTAAATGGGCAGACGCAGGAGCGGAGGGCTGATGGCAGCTGGGCTTTAAGGTGGCCGCAGGGCAGAGAGGGCAAAGTAGACAGGCTTGGGTTATAATCTGGATGCGGGCCCATGGGTGCCTCGGGTGGATTGGGTTTGGGGGTGGAGGAAAGGGAGGACTTATGGGTGGCACCCGGGTTTGGAGGCCAGCTGCTGTTCCTGAGATGGGCAGGCTGGGCTTGGGGCGAATCAGGAGCTCCGGGGCCAAGGCCAGTCTACAGCATGGCAGGCAGAGAAGTCGATGGGCACGTGGGGGCAGAAGCTGCTACAAGAGGGGCCTTCAGGTCAGCACAATCCAGCAATAGGATGACCCCACAACCAGACCAGCTCCGGGTGCCCCTCTCCACCTCCAAGCCTTCCCAAGGGGGGGTCCTGTGACTAGACCTACCTGCAGGGGAACTAGACACCCACGGCCCTGCCCACCCACCCCCAGTGACCCAAATCTGGTAGGACTGCTGCATGTCCTCCTGAGACCCCTGTGAGAAAAGGGACTGCATTGGCCCCTCGAGCTTAGCACAGGGCCTGGTGTTGAGCAGGGGCTCAAGCAATCGTTACGGGAGGAGCTAATGACCACCCGCCTGAGCCTTCCCAGGGCAGCGGCTGCACACCTTAGGGGTCAGAATGTACCCTCTGGGGACTGAAGGCCTAAGTGTGAGCACCACATACTCAGGAGTGGAATGGTGTCCCTCACCCAGCCGGACTGAAGTCCAACCCCCAGGGGCTGTGAGCGTGACCTTGTTGGAAGACAGGGTCTTTGCCGATGTGACCCAGTTAAAGCAAAGTTACGCTCGGTTAGAAAGCCCCCACCCCCAGGTGGCCCTCCAGGAGATTCCAGCTCAGGGCAGCCCCCCAGGCGGCACCACCAGCCCGAGCACTCTACAGGGTCTCACTGAAAGGCGGCTGGCACTGCGGTTGCAGGTCCTTCTCCCACGCACCTCTGGGTGGCTTCAAACCACCAACCTCGTGGCTAGTCGCCAAGGGCCACCCAGGGGCTCCATACCGGATTTGGGGGGGGGGGCCTTCACCCAATGACTGGTGTCCTTACAAGAAGAAAGGAATTTGCACACACAGACACAGGGAAGAGGGCCCTGTGAAGACGGGAGGCAGAGAATGGAGTGAGGCCCGCAGGCCAAGGTCTGCCGGCCCCTCCTTGGAACCTCCAGGGCTAGCCCGGCCCTGCTGGCTGATACCTTGATGTCAGACTTGCAGCCTAGGAGAGACTCGGTGTGCTGCTGCAAGCGGCCCGGCTCAGTGAGGCGGTGTCACCATGGCACTGGGAGACAATGAGGATGGGCCCTCTGGTCCTCAGGCCCCCCACGGCCACCGCAGAGGGCGGCCTGTGAAGACGGATGGAGGGCTAAGCAAAACTCTGTGGCGTGTGCTTCCCCTTTAAGGAATCGTACGACTACCTCTGTAAAGGACGTTTATCTGTCCCTGCTTCCTACCTGAGGGAGCTGAGGATCAGGGAGGGTACGTGCCCAGCTCAAGGGCACCCAGCAGCAGTGTCAGAGCTGCCTCCAGTGCCTGCAGCCCACTACACTCCCCCGCCCCTTGCCTGTAGCAGGGAGCTGGCTCTGGCAGTATCTGTGCCAGGCAGCAGAATCCTCTCCGGCACAGGTATGAGTGGCCTGGTCTGGCCCGGGGCCCCCAACCTGCCGATTCCACCTGTGGCTGGGCTCGGGGGACCTGAGGGCTTGTGCTTTGAGTACCTTTGCAGGGTCCCTTTTGAAAGGAAATAAGGGGAGAGAGGGAATGTGTGTGCTCCCCACCAGATCACGAGATTGGCAGCACACGCCCCACGGGAGAGGGTCCCAAGCGCGCAGCGGGGAGGCAGCAGATCCCTGGCAGAGGGGATGCTGGGGCCTACTGACCAACTGCCATGTTGGAAGAAGGGGATGACATCTGCTTCTTTCTGTGGGTGGGACCCCACCCGGTGAGACCCCACCCACCTGCCATCACCGGCCTGGATTTCCAGCATGTGGGCAGAGGAAGCACACACAGGGTATCCTGCCCCCGCCACACAGCTCGGTGGGATTTTCAGGCCTTTCCTCGGTCATGTTCCCTAGAGATCTTGTGGTGTTCCCAATGTCCCTGGTAAAGTACCGTGTCCCCACCACCACCCGCTCAGGGGAAGAGGAGGAAGGGAGGCCCTTTGCTGGGACTCAGGGAAAAGCAGCGGGGAACGGGACGGAGCCTTGCTGCCCTACCTTGCTGCTACCACAGGCAGGTGGTGCCTGTCACACACAGAAACGGACTTTTGCACGGTTTAAAGGGCATGAAGTTCAAAGTCAATGTTTTCTCTCCTTGCTGGATCTGGGATAAGGTCCGTGTGTCCTTTCAACACCTGTGGGTCTGGTGTTACTTGGAGATCCCCGTGCATCTTGACATCTCCGAGCAGAGACCCCAGGATCAAAGGTGTGCTCTTCCCCTAGGTCCTCTTTGTTGGTGGCAGGCAGGTCTCCCTCTCCGTTCACTTCTCGCTTCTCTTCTCTCTTGTGAGCCGAGAGGTGGGACTCAAGCCAGGGCGTGAGTTGCGTAAAGGTGAGACTTGGGTCATGTCCACAAGAAGGCTGTGACTCGTGACTCTAGCTGTCCAAGTCTTACCTCCTTGGCACGCAGAGGTCAGGACTCACAACAAAACGGAGGATAATTACATCAGATCACTACATGGAGGACAGCCGCACAATACCAGAGAGCATGGCCTAGACAAGCGGCTACGTAGTTCAGGGACACAATTCAACCCATGATGCCATCGTTCCTCAAGTCAGCCCATGCTCAAGACAAAGCGTGGCTCAATTCCAGGCTCAAACGCTGCACCTAATCCCTGTCTGCTGGGGTCACAGGAGTAGGACCAGGACCCAGAGGTCACTGCCAGGCCCAGGAGCCTGCTACCCAGAGACTGCTGGCTCCCCTCAGGCCCAAGGCTCCATGAAGAGTCCCATTGGCTGCCCCTGCTGGATCCAGCATGGACAGCCCCCTCAAAGTCTCAGCCGCACCTGGTCACCTCCCCTGGAGCTGTGTCACTCTCAGGTAGGCTCTGGGCCAAACCACCTGCCCAGCACCCAGCTCCACACCTTTGACCTTGATGTCCAACCTTCCCCTCTACTCTTCCTCCTCCCCAGAAGGACAAGTTCTCTCCTTTCGTTCCGTTTTAATCCATTTAGTTCATTTTAACTCATTACACACACACACACACACACACACACAACAAAAACAACATACACACTGTGGGAAGATTTATGACTCAGACAGGAGACACACAAAGTGAAAGCTCACCGCAACCCTGTCTCTGCAGCTCAGTGCTGGTGTGACACCCTGTACACATCACTCACCTTCTGCACGTCTGAAAAGCAATCAGATTTCCTCCCAAACCCTCACGTCCCCTCCCCGCCAAGATAAGCACCTCAACACCTGAATAAACAGCCCTCCGGTCCTTTGTCTATGCAGGGAGGCAGACGGGTCGATAATGTAGATTTTTGTGTTTCTGACCAAAAGTGGCAGTACTTTCTCCGCTTAGCTGTAAGAATGTTCCGTAACAAGGCAAACTGTCCATGGCTGCAGGGGCGGCCCGGTGTATGACTGCCCCACCTGTCCTCCAGAATCTGCACATATACTCCATGCTAGAATCGGCCCCCAGCTCAAGAACTCCACTCTCTTCTCACCACCCAATTCTGTCTGCATCGCCCTCTTCCTGGGCCAGGTCCGCAGTAGGCCCTGCACAGGGCCCTCAACCCGGCTGGTGACCCAGCTCCCTCCATGGCTAGCACTCAACACTTGGGTGATACACACATACACCCTCACCCTCACCCTCCCACTCACAGAGGGGCCATGGACCCATCTTCCGTGGCCTCCCACAGTTCCCCAAGGGCCCCGCAGTAGCCAAGTGCACAAGACGGATGATCAAGTCGTTTTGCAAAGGACCCAATGTGGACGTGTCAAGTGTGAAAGAGATGGGCAGCTCTTGCAAGATTTCAAACTCTAGAATTTGGAGGGCACCACAGCCGCCACAGGCCAGGCCCCGCCTGCCTCTGCAGCCTTGCAACTGGCCCCCACCGGGAGCATTCCTCATCCGCACCCAGCATCCAAAGGTCACCTGCTCCAGAGAGCCTTTTGGGGTCCCTCTGCCCCCAATCCCATCCCTACACTGACACAGCCCTGAGCTACCGCGGAGACCCAGGGCCAACACTGCCCTCCTGAGACTGGCCCAGAAGATGGCCACCTTGGGTCTCCTTGGCCTCTACCACACCAGCATGGCCCCAGGGCCCCCGCAGGCCTGCTCTCCTGCACCGACTTCCCCTGCAGGCACTAGCCCATCCCCCTCCAGTGTGTTCCGAGGAACAAGGGACCCTGTCGGAGAACTGTCCCACAAGGCTTCTGGGTCTTGTTGAAAGCAGTTATCCCATTTCTCTCCTAGGAGAGCAGGTGGGTCCCAACCAACAACTAACCACAGCGCCACCAGCACCTCTTGGTGACTCAACATTGTCACTGTACTGATCTCTCTCACCCACCAGAAGCCACCCCTGGCTCTACACCAGCAATTCCAACTGCCCTGGCCACAGGTCTTAGAAGGCACCTCACCTCCCAGTCCTCCGTGGCCCCAGAATCTCCCCCCACCTCGAATCCTCCCAGGTATCCCTCCTGACTCCTAGTTCAAGGAGTGCCCACCGACCCTGCCTCCTCTCCCTCCGTCAATGCTACGTCCTTCCCACTACACTTCACCCCCTAGCCTGTCACCCTGCTAGGAAAGCTGTGCCACTCCCTGTGGGTGAAACAGCTCAAGTGCCACACACCACGGGGACCTGACGGGGGCAGAGTATGGAGGTGGAAGGAGCACGTGGCGTGAACAGACAGAGCTCAAACAGGTGACGGGTGCAAACAGAGGCTTTAATCCCAACAGCAGCGAAGGCTACAGGGGTGGGGAGCGCTGGCGCAGACCTGGAGGGGCAGGTGGGCAGAGGTCTGGCCCACAGGAGGGAGTGAGGAAGGCAAGCAGGTGCTGGGCAGCTCCTAGGAAAAGGTTTACTTCTGAGACTCGTGTGGCTCCTGCCTCAGCCAGACGGTCAGCCTGAATCTGGGGGACCAAGACCTGTGTTGTGCTTCTCCAGTGCCCACCCTTCCTCAAAGGGTAGGCGGGACCCAGCCATGGGGGGGGGGGGGGGCAGGGGTGAGGCTGCAGAAGCCAGGCCCAGGAACGGCTCCAGAGGACAAAACAGGGGCTGGCTGATTGCTGTCACAGATTGCCTACAGGTGGGCCCGGCCTCCGCCCAGCCCTCACTGTGCATGCCCTGGCTGGGGAGCCATCGTTGACCTCACCCAGCAAGACCCACTCCAGTCCTGAGGAGCCGGGAGAGCACACAGTGGAGCCCCTCACCTTCCCCGGGGGGTAGGGAGGTGCAGAGAAACAGGGCGAGCAGCCTCAGAAAGAAACGCCGTAACATTGAGAAGGGTGCAGCCTGGGAAATCCAGGGCTGCACACTCAATACTGCCCCACCCCTGGAGTTTTTGCCACCCGCTCCAGCCCCTGGAAAGCTCTGGAAAGACAGTCCTCAAGAAGCGACCCCCAAGTCAAGTGCCCAAGAGCAGCAGAGCCAGGGAGGGCCTGCAGACAAGTGCCCCCAAGCCCGGAAGGGGGGCGGCGGGGGGAGGGGCAAGGAGACAGGAGCTGGGCCACTAGGCAGAGCAGCTTGGGATTCTCTTTCCTGCCCCCACCCCCACCCCGCATCCCCGGCCGGTCCCAGTCTCCAAGCACCCAGATGCCACCTGAACATGGGTGACCCTGTGGGGCTCAGGGACTGACCCCGCCTTTGGGGAGCAGCTGCTTCAGCCCTCAGTGAGGCAGCGGCCACAAGGAGAGAAAGCAGCGGGGCAGAAGGGCAGAGTCCCCGCCCCCAGAGGGCGCAGGGCAGCCCCAGGTCTCAGAACGGGGCTGAGCAGGTGAGTAGGGCGGGGAGGAGGGGCAGGCACAGGGCACAGGAGGGGTAGGCCCAGTCCCTCTCCTGCCCCTCCGCCATTGGGGAGGAAAGGAAACTGGCCACTTTGGTCACTTCTCCCACCTCCACCTCGGGACCATCAGCCTTATTCCTGACTCCCCGCTCTGCCCTGAGCTCAACGCCCACCCCAGTAAACAGTCAAACAAAGAACAGGGGGAGGAGGGGAGGGGGCTACGCAGATGGGTGGAGAGGGCAGTCTGGGTGGCTCTGGCTTCGAGGCCCTCCTAGGATGATGTGACAGGCTGGATAGGCAGCAGACTTCCGAACTTGAAGTGCTGGATCACCGGGAACTTTTCCAGGCACTGTGGGAGAGGAAGAGTAGGGTGAGGGGTGCCACAGTAGCCTCAGGCCACAGCGCACCACGGCCACTCAGGGGCTTGGCCCAGTGAGGTGGAGCTATCCCCAGGGGGGCTGCATCTGGGGCCCAGGAATGGCCCCATTACAGAGCAGACCCCAGGCCTTCCGGCCCCAGCAAGACAGGCCTCTGGTTCCGGCCACCCTTCCCACCCAGAGTCCACAACTCCCCCCCAGGCAGAGCCACCAAGCAGGGTGGGCCCGAGAGACAGAGACCAATGGCCCCGCTCCACAAGGGCAAGCTGTGAGGAGGGACAGCCAAGTGCTACCCTTGGCCCCAGGGGGACTCGCCCAGAAGTGACGTCACTGATGTTTGATAATGGTTATTTGCTAAATCCATTGATGGGGAAAGAGGAGTCTCTTCACTAAATAGTGTTCAGAAAATTGCATTTTCACATGTAGAAAATGTGGGCCCACGTCTCGCACCACAAACAAAACCCCAGTTCATGATGAACTCCAGGCCTGAAGATGCGCAGACCAGCCGGAGCCCTCTCGGAAGCACAGGCAGGGCAGTGCTGTCGGCCTCACTTGCAACAGCAGATGACCTCGCACACTGACAAAATCACCAACCAAAGGAAGCTAGCAACTGGGAAAATAACTGCGGAAACCATCTATCCAGTGAAAATCAAACCACCAAACTACACATGACAACTTCAACAACTTAACAAAAAGGCAAATAAGACCACCATAGAGAGGGCACATGACCTCCACTGACACCTTGCCAAAGAGGGCACACCTGAGGCCAGCAGACACCTGAAAACACGCCTGGCGGCCTCGTTGAGCCACCAGAGAGGCGCGTCTAAGCACGGGGACAGACTGTTTCACCCCTACTAGGGTTACAAACTCCATACTGCTGCCGCCGCCCCACCAGCAAGGCCATTCTGACCCCAGCACCTCTGGAGGTCAGGGAAGAACTGCCATCTGGGTCTCCAGGACTGGCACTCTTTTTTAAAATTCATTTTATTGGGGGCTCCTACAACTCATCACAATCCATCCATCCATTGTGTCAAGCACATTTGTACATTTGTTGCCATCATCATTCTCAAAACATTTTCTTTCTACTTG